ATGTTGTGGATATTACATTAATTTGGTTTTATGTACTTTACTGATGGATATTATATATAATGTAATATTGTTTTTTTTCCCAAATATAATAAAATATAATAAAATAAAATAAAATAAAACTTGAGACCCTTGAGACTATCTACCTGCAAGATTCAAGGTGAAGTGAGACATTAGTTTTATCATATCCGCCACAAGACTTCCACTGCTAAATGTAGGCCTTCTACCCAATGACAGTCGCTTACATTATGAATTTGCATTTTCGTAGGCACCTAAGAAATGAAAAAGATTGTGAGGCATACTCTTTAAAACTCTATAGGTGCATCATGCTTGCTGAATTAACAGGATCATTCCTAATTGCCTTTTGCGCTGCGACGCACCATAGGTTATTTTTTGGGTTTCTAAATTCTTGTTGTGTGTCGTAGCAAAATAAATGGTTTTTCTTTCTTTCTTTCTTTCCAATAATACAAAGTGTAATAGTCACTTGAGTAGCGAGCAGTATTTTTAGATTTTTGTTTTTTGTAAATAAACAACCACATGAGAGCACATTGACATTTTTCAGTTAACTGTCATCTGTCATTTGTAATAGATATTTTGCTTACGGTGGCTCTACACTTGACGTTGCGTATTTGTTGTGTTCGGCCAAAAATGAACATGTTTGGAGGATTTATTCTTCTTTGTTTGCTATATATTTGCACGCCATTACATACAGAGATACTATTTGGACGCCATTTGTACGTAGTCTACAAATATTTGGACAAATGAAGCGACTACGCAATGTCAAGTGTAGTACCACCTTAACATACCTTTTGCACATTTTCAAAGTGAAATAACTTTTGAACCCCAAGTTCTAAAAATATGTAATTTTTTTCTAAACTTCATAATAAAAATATCTATCGTTCAGACTATTCACTTGGTTAAAACAATGACTAATACAAAATTTTATAGCGGTACAAAACTTCCATACAAACCTGCCATTCTCCTTTAGTTTGTATAATTACTATCCTAAAACGTATGTACTGGATCAATTGAAAATGCAGGACCACTCACGTAAATAACTAAGTAAAACTCCTCGCTGTCACTTGAAACTATTAGAGCCTTTCCCAGGTATTTATACAAACCAAGTTTAGGTATTTAAATAAAACACAACTGTGGGAGAGCTATGCTTCGGCTCGAATTGGCCGATTCGACTGGAACACCGCCTCACAGAAAACCGACGCGATACAACACTTGCAATGTGATTCGTCGTGTGAGTGAGGTTACTTAAGGAACAATTACCCCTCTCCCCAATAACCGAATCCCCAAAAATCCTCAAATTCCTAATCCCCGAAACACCAAAGATGTCCATGGGCGGCGCCATTGCTTACACTCAGTTGATCCGTCTGCTCGTTTACCGGCTTTATTTCATATTAAAACATTTAAAACGTTCTTACTTGCTTACTATCTAACTGAAATAATCAGACCATATCATTTTTACTTCAAATTGTACTTACTTGATGGAAATACTGCATAAGGCAAGTTAATGATAGCGATGTCATTACGAGCAAGGTTAGGATTCCAGGAACCGTGCATGGAAACGCTATCACTAATCACCCTGGTACCGCCGCTGAACAAATTAATTGTGCCCAGAATCACTGTGATTCCGCTGGCCTGATTATGTCCGTCAAACCAGCAGTGAGCAGCGGTGAGTATTCTTCTCATGTTGAGCAAAGCACCTCCACAAACACCACTCCATCCATTTATGTCAACGATAAGACCAGCCTGCCAAATATTGTTAAGAGTTCTATTCTAATTCTATTTCTATCAGAGATGTCTTACGATTTGATACAATTGTTTTTGAGAGAGAAATAAAGAAAGAAAGAAAAATCATTTTGAGTCTTAAACAAAGTTTAAATTATTGATAGTTTAAGCCTAACATAGTCATTGTTTTCTTATTATAAATTAGGTCGGCATATATAGAACGACAGTTATTTACATAACTGTAGTTTTAGAGATCATGCCAGTAAATCCGTCATTGGCTTCTCTTTTCATTCTCTAATAACTTTATGGAAATACTTCTCACCTGATAAGGAAATTGACCAAGAATGGCAGGAAAAGGTCCAGTTCTGGTTGGATTACGGGTAGCTTCTTCCTCAGCTTTGCGGATCTTCTCGGCCAACGGTCCACCAACTTTAGTGTGGTAGCCATATGCAGTAATCTCTTCTAGATCGATCACATCTTCAAGGTTAATGTGCTTTGCATAGGAAACCGCTACTAGAGTTAGTAGAGTCACTGCCAGGACCTTCATCTTAACAGCAATGAGCAAATAAATTTGAATACTGATTATGCAGTGCAATATTCAACTGATAAATGTGCAAACAGCCGATTGTGCATTCTTATATACCTTTTTTTATGGATAATCCGATTTAAATCAAGGGATTTAAGTCATCCGATTTAAAATCTTGTTGATAAATTGAACGATTATTCATAATTATTGACTAATTTTTAAATGGCCATTGAAGTTTAAATAAGGAAAGAACTTTAAGTATCAGATGATTTATTTCAATCTGAATATTCTTAGGTCATTAAAATATAGTTTTTAAAAGACCTTCAGGCCTACGGTACATAACGGCAACTGCACGTATAACAAGATGATCAGTGAGTCAATATTGAAAATTGAGTATTATTATAATGAGTTACCTAAAGGAAAAAAAATGTACGAATAGTTCTACAAATTGACAAGCAATTATAATATACCGCGTTATGTCTAACGCTAGAGATTCAAAGTATGCTTCGTCTGATATTTTAGTTTTTTTCTTATCTTAGTTATTGACGATAGCCTTTCGTCTAAGGGTCTAGCTTACCTTTCCTTTTAAAGGCACAAGAGGCCAGATTAAAAAAAATGCATGATTTGTTTTTGTTAGTAACAAATAGTACGCATAATCATTTTTAAACTTCTATCTTGAAAATTGCGGAATGCTCTACACATGACCACTCCATCCCTTCAACTATCTCCGTTTAAAAAGTCACGTCAATTACATAATATAACATCACGCCTTTTATCCCCGAAAGGGTAGGCAGAGGTGCACATTATACCACTGTACAATGTAACACCCACTTTTTACTATTTATGTTATGAGTCCCTTGTAATAGGGGGTGAGCCTATTGCCATATACCGGGCACAATTCCAGACTCCGTGCTACTACTAAGAATATTTAAAAACCCAGTAATACTTTGCCCGACCCGGGAATCGAACCCGAGACCCCTTGCCCGGCAGTCGTTGCTCTATTTTGCGGTGAAAGACGGACTAACAAACGAAAAGGCATACTTTTACATGCATAATATGAATATGGATTACACAGATGCATAAGCTAATTTTGCGAGTCAAAGCTACAGGAAAATGGGAGGAATGGTTAAATGGATATAACTGTGCACTCTATTTACGCAATTAGCATACGTGAGGCGTAGCTTAGTCTATAGATTCTTGAAATTGTTTAGTAGCAAGACTATAGAATAGACAATAAACTGATTTAAAATATGAGTAAAAAAATAAGTAAATTAAACAACTTTTTATTTTAACATGTTAGCGGCCACCGCGCTACTGCGCCGCCGCACTTATTCTCTGTTTGATATATATCAATACCGGACTGTGCGCACGTTCGTACGTAGCCGGCAATAGAATAACAAACACGCATGGCGGTGCGGCAATGCGGTGGCGACGCGGCGGCGACGCGGCGGCGGCACCGTGTGCATGAACGCTAATGTAATTATGTTATCAAACCTTATCACATTTTGTGAAATAAAGTAGATTAAACAGGCATTTTTGAATAACAAAAACAAAAGAAGTTGATAACATCGTAAGTTTTAATCGTTTTTCAATTATAAAGCTAAATCGTCATTTTGTTCCACTTAACATTTTTTCATATAATTTAAAGACGACAAGCTCTATCTACAGCTGTTCTCGATGAATTAAGGTAATCAAATTCAAATATCTCTCTACTAGTATGTATTACTTACGAAAATACTATAGTACCTAATAATAATAATGTAATTTTTACGCTTAAAAAAACTGACTTGAACCCCCTCTTTTTATAAAGGTGGTTAATTAATATACTAAAACTTTCAACTAAGCACTACAAACACTTTTCTGAAAACCGCATCAAATCGGTTCTGCCATTAGCAAGATAATTGCGCACAAAAATACATACATAGAGGTCAAACTAAGAACATTCTTCTTTTTTTGAAGTCGGTTAATAAATATACTTCTATTACATACATTCTATTCATTATTATTTATGTTATTAACAAGACCAGAGAGCCTTGTTGACTTTTAACAAGAATTGGGATGATGACAGGGTATAAAAATTAGAAATACGATTAGTCCGTAAGTTAGGTAATGAAAAAATATTAGATAGGTACGTATTTTTTATTATGTCTTATAATACTTAGATAAAACGAACTAAAATATAGGAGTGGGGTCTAAAACGTAATTTTTACGTATAAAATGTACATAGAAGTGACGTAATGCGACATTTCAAATCAATATATCGATGAAAGTATTCATTTCTGTAAGAAAATAAAAAATACGTGTCTAATGATTTAAAATAATCTACCAGACGGACATTAAAATAAAAATTAGGCATCTACCCTAATCGATTCCTTGTAACAGATGAAGAATTCCTTGTAATAGAGCTCTCTATTACAAGGAATTTTTGTGAAAAGTAACGATTTTTCATCATTTTTCCCTTTCGAGGAGTAAGAGCCATTTCCATTAAGGCGATTTTCAGTCACGGTTGCTTGACTGGTCGTGAAACCATGGTGTCCCAATGAAATACGTATCAAAAGATCCATATCGCTATAATATTACTAAAAGCCAATTACAACATAGAGGTAGATTTTAATTTGGGTAAAGGAGGCATTTCATTTAAAAGTAAAAATAAAAGAGGTTTTTAAGTAGCATCGTCAGCATTTAATTGTTATAATAATTATTGTCAATTTGCTCCACTATACATTTTTTCATCTATTTAAAGACGTTGGTTGATCCAGCTGATGTAAGATGTGACTCTGGCAAAGACAGCAGGGTGACCACGCTGGCAGCCGTCAATGTGTCCGAAGGAGGTCACACCGACCTGTTAATAAGAAAATGATACATAAAATTTTTTAGTAAACACTTAACTACCTAACAAAACAATATTTTATATCTTTGTCATATGCTAAACCTTCAATTTCACAACAAAGAATTCTTTCGTTTAGAAATCAAAATCTCGACACGTTGTTTACCAGCTAACCGGCTGGCCCATACCAGCCATGCCATCATAGTGGCTGGGCGGTTACCCAACCGACCGAGACCACCACTATAATGGCTATTAGATATCACGAACAGAACTATAAGGATAACCCACCAAGATACGTCTGCCACCGCTGTTCACAACAAGAGGACCACCGGAGTCACCGCTGCAAGTGCTTCTGCCGCCAGCGCCGCTGGTGCAAATGTTTGATGACTGAACCAAAACAGGGAAGGTATTGCGGCACACAGCGTTGGTGATCACAGGCAAGTTGACGTGGCTGAGGGCTCCGCTAACACTTCCACCTTAAACAACATTATAATTAGGTACTAAATATTAATTGAGAATTCGTCAAGAGCTAGTAATTATTGTAAGGTAGAACTTTATCCAGTTATCATTTATTGTAGGCAAATACTATTGTTCATTGGTTCTTCATGTTCATTAATGCTAAAAAAAAAAAAAAATAGCATTCTTACCATCTCTGGTAAGACCAAAGCCAGATGCAGTTGCGGTTGCACCAGCGAATTGATTGTTGAGCTCGTTTCCAGAGGGCAGTGCGATGAAGTTAAGGTTGTCTGTTGAAAAATAGGAAATGCATCAGAACTTCAGAATAATCATTAAAATTAGGTTATTGCAATGATCTATTATGGTTATGAATGATTAATAAATAATAATATTCGTATAGAAATTTAAATTATAATATCATATAATTATAATATCATAATCTTATGATTACTTTGGAACTATAGATGTGATGGATCAATGATAACATACCTAATCAATTTTATGTACAATTATTTAGAACAATACTTACTAGAAGTAGATACTGCAGAAGGCAAGGTGATCATAGCAATGTCGTTACGAACAAGGCTGGGCATCCAGCTTCCGTGCATGGCAACACTACTGGTGGTCAGCCTGGTACCGCCACTGTAGAGTTGAACTGAACCAAGTACTACTGTGAAGCTCCTGGCCTGGTTTTGTCCGTCAAACCAGCAGTGAGCAGCGGTAAGTACTCTTCTGGAGTTGAGCAACGAACCACCACACACACCATTCCATCCGGGCATGGCAGCAATAAGACCAGCCTGCAGAATATCAATTCAGTTTAGAATATTTTACGATTAGTTTTAGTCAAAAGCTCACTTACAGGAACTCGGATTGAATGTATTTAATGGCTGGTTAATAAAAACTATTATTACAGTTTTGATTTACATATTTCGTCTGTCTTAGCATCACTTACTATCTTTGGTGTCTTTATTCCTTGTTAGTAAATAAGCCGGAGCCTGGGCCGAGAGCTGATCTAAAATCTTCGGGGAAAAGTTTCTTACAATTATATGCCTTGTATCATAGGCCATAAAATAATACTACTCACCTGGTATGGGAATTGACCGAGACTGGCAGTGGAACCACCAACAATCCTGGATGGATTGCGGGCAGCTTCTTCTTCAGCTATGCGGATCTTCTCAGCCAAAGGGCCACCAACCTTGGTATGGTAACCATAGGCAGTGATAACTTCTAGATCAATCACATCTTCGAGGTCAATGTTCCTCGCGGAGGAGACCGCTACCAGAGCCAATAGAGTCACAGCCAGGACCTTCATGTTGACGGCAATAAGCAAAATGTGAAGTTTTCACTAAACACTACCTTTTTATATACTTTTCTGTTGTTAGATAATGCGATTAAAATTTAGAAATAATATTAATTATCATAAAATTATGAAGGATTATGAGACAATCGGAAACCCCCACGTATTAAAATGATTTCATGATGATCAATCATGTTAAAATACTTTTGTACAATTTTACTTTTTTATTTTTATTATTATTAAAAAAAAAGGTTGATCAAAATTAGAGCAGTAAAGAAGCGGTAAAGTTTCAGTTACTGTGATCATGTTTGTTATGTCATTGTAAAAAATACTTAGTTTTTTTATGACATATCTGGTAAATGAGCAGACAGGTCCCCTGATGGTCCCAACTGCAATCTAGCATGCAACCCAGGCAAAAGCAATCGCCGCTGCTCATAAACACTAGTGGCCGATCGAAAGCATGACTCTCCCAGACTTGTTATTTCAATCAGAAAAAATAATTTGTACTATACCAATAAAAAAGACAAAATACGATAATTTGGGTAATTGCAACTTCTTGAAGGATCTTAACAATGAAATGGAATCGTTGCTCTTGCCACATCTGGTTGCAATAAAACTAACCTGTGAAAAATCTACAGGCAGTATTTATTGAAATACTAGCGTCTGCCAGCGGTTTAGCTCGCGGTCCCGGGAGTAGTCTACGTGATACTCCGCTCCGATAGGTTAAGAGGCATCTCATGTATGAGGGTGCAGGTTCGAAATCTACCAACGGCAAGTACCAATGTAACTTTTTCCGAGTTATATGTACTTTCTAAGATTATTTAGACACCACTGACAAACGGTGAAGGAAAACATCGTGTGGAAACCTGGGCTTATAATTTCTAATTACAAGTTTGAAATCGCCAATCCGCAATAAGCAAGCGTGGTGATAAATTCTCAAAATCTTCTCCTTATGAGAAGAGGCTTTGCTCAGCAGTGGGCACTTATAGGCTATTGATGATGATGATGATGATGTGATACTGCAGGCTATATCCATAAATAAATAAATAAATATAATTTAGGTCTGTTGCAATTTTTTTTCCCTTTAACCGTTTGGATGTGACTGAGTAACAAACATATATATATAATAATATATAAACACACAAACTCATATATTTTCACATTTATAATAGCAGTTCAAGCTAATTACGAACATCGGCCCTACAGTTACAGCGTAAGGTCCACTGCGGGCAAGCTAACATTCGACAAACTTACCTCATATTTGAGTTTAGTATATTAATTGTGTCTAGAGATCGAGCAGCATAATTAGGGTTGTTTTTTCGTGTATTTACTTTTTTGGGATCAAAAGTATCCAGTGTGATATGATACGATATAATATGATATGCCTAGGGCATTAAAATATAATCATACCAAGTGACGTCGTAATCGGACCGGTAGTTGTTGCGTGATGTGTGAACATACACAGACAGACAAATAAGTTTTAGTTCACATTTTTGGTTTTTGGTTTCGGGGTCTGTGTAGTAACACCCCTCCCCAACTACTATTTTTTATATTTTCATTTTTTTCAATTCATTTATTCATTAAACAATTTACATTGTATTTGAATGTCTTCGTAATCATAAATTACATTGCAATATAAATCTAAGCTCCTAGATGTTCCAAGTGTTGGCATTCAAAAAAAAAATCATTCAATATCATATTAAAGAAACAATTAAAATAATAATAAAAAGAGACATAACATTATATAACATATCAGAAATCAAATTATAAAAGGAATTACATAATTGGGTAGTTTTCAGCATAAGAATAGATTAATCATTTATTATTTAGTAATTAAATTATTAAATTAAAATTCAGGTCAAAAAAACACTATAATAACACTATCACAGTTCGTCAACTGAGATAAATACTGTACTACAGCAAATGCTTTAGTTGGGATATAAAAAACTCGAATAAATAGATCTTCAAATTTTTGGATAGCTTATTGAACAGTTATACTGCTTGGTACCACGAACCGTGCTTAAACACTTCTAACCTAGGACAATTCGTGAATATGTTTAGCCAGCGTAGTTAAAATTACCAAACCATAAATTGCGGGGACTGTCAGGATCTCCAGCTTCGTAAAATACTGTCTACAACTCTCAATTTGTGGTATACGTACTATTGTTCTTATAGCCCGCTTCAGTAAAGTGAATACTTTGCGATATTTCCAATGTACAGAATTTACACTTCTACAGTATTACTGTATTTATATAGATTGCAATAAAAGTGTCATAAAACCCGGATTGCAAGGGCCTTGGAAACGGGGTCTGGCGACGAGATGTTACGTACCTCTATATTAATTAAACCAGAGGGCAGTAGTCTTGGACTGCGAAGACGGAAGGTCATCTTAAATAGACTAGAACTGATTCTTAATATCCAGTTCAACTATGTAAATTCAGTGTGCAATTTGGAGTTTAATGAGTAACAGTGTAGTAGTAGTAGTAGTAGTAGTAGTAGTAGTAGTAGTAAAAGGGTGTGTGAATGTGATTTTCTAATAGGCTAGGGATTTTATCCTATCGCTGTTTTGATTTATTTTAACTGACCGATCGGAACAATACTTTCCACTGTAGGTACTTATTTATTATACGGGCACTTCTCCCCAGAGGTGCTGGTGATATACATATATCCTCATATTATATCACCATAGAACGATAGAGAATGTGAGTGTCTCGTCTAAACCAATTTTTAGCCGTGGTGGCTATTATATGAACTGTTACTCTTTGACGAAATATGTTTGTTATGGTGGGCGAGTCACGTAAAATCGTGAGACTAAAACTCAAAAAAAATCTTTATAGACATTTCATTAATAAGTAAAATAAAACAGATTTTTTAGTAATATCGTGAGTATTTAATTGTAAAGCCTTATTATATTGTCATTTTGCTCCAGTGTAAATTTTTTCATCCATTTAAAGACGTTGGTTGATCCAGCTGATGTAAGATGTGACTCTGGCAAAGACAGCGGGGTGACCACGCTGGCAGCCGTCAATGTGTCCGAAGGAAGTAACACCAACCTGTTAATAAAAAAATGATATACATTATTTTTTTAAAACTTTTACCCAGACTAGAATTTTCTCCTTTGTCATATGCTAAACCTACAGTTTCACATATACCATACACACAAATCTAAAACAACAACTTGTAGATCACAACAAAGAATTGTTTCGAGTGGGAATCGAACCCTCAACACGTTGCTTACCAGTTAGCCTGCTGGTCCATACCAGGCATGCCATCATAGTGGCTGGACGTTTACCCAGCCAACCGTGCAGATTAATAACAGTGTTTTATAGTGGCCATTAGATATCACACACAGATCTATAAGGTTAACCCACCAAGATACGTCTGCCACCGCTGTTCACGACAAGAGGACCACCGGAGTCACCGCTGCAAGTGCTTCTGCCGCCAGCGCCGCTGGTGCAAATGTTTGAAGACTGAACCAAAACAGGGAAGGTATTGCGGCACACAGCGTTGGTGATCACAGGCAAGTTGACGTGGCTGAGGGCTCCGCTGACACTTCCACCTTAAAAAACATTATAATTAGGTCCTAAATATTAATGGAGAACTAACATTTGTCAAGAGCCTGTAGATAGTAAGATTTTACATAAATCATTTATTATAGGCAAACACCATTGTTCATGGGTAAAAAATGTCCATTAAAGTTGAAGACAACACATAAATAACTTTCTTACCATCTCTGGTGAGACCGAAGCCTGACGCAGTTGCGGTTGCACCGGCAAATTGGTTGTTGAGCTCGTTTCCAGACGGCAGGGCGATGAAGTTAAGGTTGTCTGTTGAAAAATAGGAAATGCATCAGAACTTTAAAATAATCAACGTGATTAACTATTATCTATTATGATTTTGAATGATTAATTCGTCTAGATAATTTTTGTTTTTGAAATAGGTAATTTTATTTATCATAATCAATCATGAACTCATGATTACCGTGGAACTATAGACATGATGGATCAATGATAACATAATCAATTTTAATTATGTACATTTAGAACAATTATACTTACTAGAAGTAGATACTGCAGAAGGCAAGGTGATCATAGCAATGTCGTTACGAGCAAGGCTGGGCATCCAGCTTCCATGCATGGCAACACTACTGGTGGTCAGCCTGGTACCGCCACTGTAGAGTTGAACTGAACCAAGTACTACTGTGAAACTCCTGGCCTGGTTTTGTCCGTCAAACCAGCAGTGAGCAGCGGTAAGTACCCTCCTAGAGTTTAGCAAAGAACCGCCGCAAACACCATTCCATCCGGACATGGCCGCAATAAGTCCAGCCTGTAGAATATTATTTCAGTTTAGAATATTGTAGGGTTTTTATTTTAATTTAAACTGTCAAATACCAAGCGGTCACCGGTGACCGCGACCCATTGTTCTTTAATTGTGTCTATAAAACCGGTACTCGACGAGTTAAAAAACGTTGTCCCTCATTAAAATTTCTCCTGTGTTGTAGTTGCGTTTTTAAATATATATACAAATTGAGATACACAAATGATATGCAGACAGCAAAGAACAATTTGTGGATTACACAAATTGTTGCTCCGTAAGTGTGTGAATGACTTTTTTTTGGTTGGTAATGGTTCATAAGCTAAAACTATTGAAGCCTGCATATATTTTGTTCCCCTAGTATCTTTTACTAGTTTTAGTAAGTACATTTTATTCATTTTTGTAAATCAGCGCAGGGTTACGACCGATCTATCAAGATCGGCATCAATCCACCAACAGGGAAAAGGTTCTTACAAATATGACTAGTAACATTATACATAAGTTAATACTACTCACCTGGTATGGGAATTGACCGAGACTGGCAGTGGAACCACCAACAATCCTGGATGGATTGCGGGCAGCTTCTTCTTCAGCTATGCGGATCTTCTCAGCCAAGGGGCCACCAACCTTGGTATGGTAACCATAGGCAGTGATCACTTCTAGATCAATCACATCTTCGAGGTCGATGTGCCTTGCAGAGG